GTCAAGTTGAGCTCTGAGTCGGCAGACGGAGTACTCACCTCGGAGGATGTGCCTGTCACAGCTAGCCCTCACCCACAGACAGACAAAGACACACCGGTAGACTGTACCTGGGAGATCTACACTGACCGGGGCAGGGAGGTAGGCCATGTTGTTATAGTGCATACATTACACACATACACACAAACATAAACACATACACAAACACAAACATTCACGCATAAACAGACAGACAAAAACACACACATACACACAAACATAAACACATACATAAACACAAACATTCACTCATAAACAGACAGACAACAACACACACATACACACACATAAACACTTCCACAAATACAAACATTCACGCATAAACAGACAGACAAAAACACACACATACACACACACATAAACACATCCATAAATACAAACATTCACGCATAAACAGACAGACAAAAACACACACATACACACACACATAAACACATCTACAAATACAGACATTCACGCATAAACAGACAGACAAAGACACACACATACACACAAACATAAACTCATACACAAACACAAACATTCACGAGTAAACAGACTTACAAAGACACACACATACACACACACACATAAACACACATACAAACACAAGCATTCACGCATAAACAGACAGACAAAGACACACACACATACACACACACCTACACACACAAACATAAACACACATACAAACACAAACATTCACGCATAAACAGCCAGACAAAGACACACCCGTGGACTGTACCTGGGAGATCTACTCTGACAGGGGCAGGGAGCTAGTCCATAGTCATAATGATAACAATAGTAATAATAATAATAATGATAATCTATAGACTCGATGATTACAGTATTTCCCGCATGTTCAGAATGATTTATATTATAATATAATTTTGTTTTATGTACATGATGTTTGACATGCACACCATCACAACTTAGATCATTTGGGAGAGGCGGGCTTCCTACCCTGTCTGTAGGGGCCAGCCCGAGCTGTGCCTGGGAGTGATACAGTATCCCAGCACACAGACCCGGCCTGGGAGTGATACAGTATCCCAGCAACCAGACCCGGCCTGGGAGTGATACATTATCCCAGCACACAGACCCGGCCTGGGAGTGATACAGTATCCCAGCATACAGACCCGGCCTGGGAGTGATACAGTATCCCAGCACACAGACCCGGCCTGGGAGGGATACAGTATCCCAGCACACAGACCCGGCCTGGGAGGGATACAGTATCCCGGCACACAGACCCGGCCTGGGAGTGATACAGTATCCCAGCAGACAGACGGGGATACTCAGGAAAACATATCTCTCTCTCCACTCGGGAGTTGAACTCGGGTCTTCCGCGTGCGACAGCAAAGTGCCGAGCCCCGGTATGTCAGACGCGGGGGTAGTTCTGTACACAGCGCCAGGACTCACACAACACAAACTGCTTGTGCATACATTGTGCACATACACACAAATATAAACACATAATAACACATACATACACACACACATACACACACATACATACACATACATACACACACACACATACACACAAATTTAAACACATATACACATACATACACACACATACATACACACACACACACACACACAAATATAAACACATAATAACACATACATACACACACACATACACACACATACATGCACACACACACATACACACAAATATAAACACATATACACATACATACACACACATACATACACACACACACATACACACAAATATAAACACATATACACATACATACACACATATACACACGCACATACACACACACGCATACACACAAACACAAACATTCAAGCATAAACAGACATACAATAACACACTCATGCACACCAACACACGTACAAAAGATGATATTCTATTCCCACATCCCGTCAGATAGCCCAGTGACGTGCAGACGTTCTGTCTTGTAATCTGGTCCTTCGCTCACAAAAGCGTCTAGAAAAGAATTGGATCGTAAAGCCAACTTTTTCTGTCCAATACACATGTCCTATCAATCCCTTTAATGACTGTTTGTGGTTGGTAGCTTTTCTAGTTTCTATTCTATTTACTTAGAATCTGGGAGCACGAGGGAACTGATTTAAATCACTACCATATTGCTCGTGCACTCACTCA